TTTCTTCATTTGTGCGGTTTTTCCCCCTCCCTAGTTTTTCCTTCCCTCCACGTCACCGTCTTCTTTAATTCTGTTATTCAGGGGTAAAGGGATTGGTTTTACTTCTGTTTGTTCAATCTCCTATTCTTTATGTATGTCCTCTTACTTTGTTCAATTCTGAAGTTGCACTGTGGGGTGGAGGTGATCCTTTTTGCAGTTTTGAGATTTACTTAAGGGGAGAGCTGTGATTCAAAATCTGTCTGCAGGTCCTGGTATTCGTTGACAGGTGTGTGGATAATGTAGAACCCACTTCCCACTGCCCTGGAATCTGTCCGTGCAGTGAGGCTATAGGATTACTCCCTGAAATAAAATGTGGTTAGCAGAGGGGAGAGAATGGAGCAGATAGTGGGTTGAAGAGGGGAGTGGAGAGATAGAGGAGTAAGGGGGGAAATAAATGAGTGTGCCAACAAACAGACAGAGAGGCCTATACTGAAACAGATAAAAACAATAGACCAGAGCTACAGATGAACCAACTCTCATACAAAAAATAAAAAATAAAAATAAAACATATAGTGATGCTAACATACAAGCTAACCAACCACCTTGTTAGTGTGCTGTTCCTCTATACAAAGATATGGTTTACAGAGAGAAGAAAAGAGAAGAAAAGGAAAAGGAAAAAAGAAAAAAGAGAATAATACAGTAGGAACAAAATTAAGTCATTAAACTAATAGAATCAATGAAGCACACTCTGAGACATTTCATTTAAGTCCAATGTCCTTTCAAGTCTGATTTCTAGTTTTCTTTTCAAGCTGATAAATTAGTTTGCAGTTAGGGTCAGTTGCCCCTGGTCTGCTGTGAAGGACAGTTCAGATTACCCTCCATTTGCTTGTTTCTCCCGTTTCGGTGTTATTACCTTGAATCGCCAGCAGGTGGTGCTTTCTCAGCTGCTCGCCCCAGAGGGGGTGGGGCCGGACAGGAACAAGATGGCTGCCTGCCGCTGAGCAGGCAACAGGAGCCTTACGCCGGGTGGGCAGGACAGTCTCGATCGCAGGAGAGGTGGCAGCAATCCCAGCAGATCTTCCCTGAAGGGGTTTGATGTGGATTGCCTCGGGCCGGGTGGTGTGATGTGCTACCCATCACAGAGGCTGCGGCAGCGGCGGCGACGGCAGCGGCAGCGGGGGGGAGTGGCTGCGGCGGCGGCACTGTTTGCACCGCAGTAACTGTCCAGTCCGTTGCGATGTCCCAGCGGTGGCAACGGCCGAGTTCTGTATGAAGAGCAGGTTGCGATGTTGGGGTCCCCAACCCCCCGAGGCGAGAGTCAGAGACCCACTGCAGATCTCCTTTGCAGAGGGCTTCAGAGACCGGGTTGCCCCGTTGCCATCTTGCCGCTTCCTTGGGAGTTTTCTTAGTGGAAACCATTTTCATTTCAAAATCAATTTCTTTAGTAATTACAGAGCTACTTAGGTTAAGCATTTCTTCTAGAGTGAGGTTGGTACTTCCAAGAAATTTGGCATCTTCCAAAGAAAGGGTCCATTTCATTTAAACTGCTAAAAATTCATTTACATAAAGTTGCACATATTACCTTATAAGTCCCTCTGTATTTCTGTAGAAATTGGAATGGTATCATCTTTTTTCATGCCTAGAATGGGTAGTCTTTTTCTCATCACTCTGACAATATGTTTACTAACTGAATTAATCTTTACAAAAACCTAGCTTTTAATTGTACCAGTTTTCTTTATTTCAGTTTCTTCTATTTCAGTTATCTATTGGTTTTTCTGTTATCTCATTGATTCCTGCTCTTTATTATTTTAGCTATTTAGCTTACTCTAGATTAAATCTGCTCTTTTTTCTCTAGTTTCTTGTGATGAATGCTGACGTCACTGATTTGAGAACTTTCTTGTTTTCCAATACTAACAAATTAATGCTATAGTAGATACTTTAACTGCATCCCACAGAACTTAATGCTTTTTTTTTTTTTTTCAGTTTAAAATACCTTGCAATTTTCCTCATGTTTTCATCTTTGATTCAATATTTAGAAGCATATTGTTTCTTTTTTAAATATTTGCAGATTTTCCATCTATCTTTTTATAATTGATTTCTAATTTTCTCTTCAGCTTAACTTTTTAGGCTTCTGCTGTTGTTGCTTTGGTGAATCCTTTAGGACTCACAATACATATTTTTATTTTATCATAATCTACTTTCATGTACAGTATACAATTAATTGAATAACAGTATTCTGTCTTCTGACCTCTGTGCTACTGTTTTCCATATTCTCATTCTACATTTGTCATAAATCCTAAAATGCATTTTGATTATATTTGGTTTTAAGATTTAAAAAATAGAAAGCTTTTACATCTACCACATATTTGCCATTTCATGTGTCTTTCATTCTTTTGAATCGAACCAAGTTTCCATCTATTTGGATTCAGAATCATACAATTTATATTGGTTATTATTACATTCTTTTAAATGGTTTTGAGGTTTTTTTTATTTCCTGGGATGTAGTTATGTATATAAAACTGGTTTGGTCCTTTCAAAGTTTGCTTTTAAGCTTTGGTAGGCTGAATAAAGTCAGCTTTTCACGTAGGGTTAGTTTAGTTCCACCCTGAGGCATTACCTTTCTGAATACTCTTCCTCATACTCTGTGCCTTACATGATTTCTCCACTATGTTGGAGATGCGAACTATCTCAGGCCTGTGTGTGCTATAGAAATAGTTCTGACTTATTCTTTTTCAGTCAATCCTATCCAAGCCTTCCACCCATGCACTAATCAGTATTCAACTGGAGTTTCAGTAGTGGGACCTTCTGCAGACTTCTAAAACTCCAGGCAACTTTTGCTCTATGGTATCGTACCTTCTAAGCTGCAGATGCCATGGCTTCCCCAGTTCTCCAACTCTGACTCTTCAACTAAGGGAGACTTATCAGCTTCCACCTAAGTTCCCCTTTCATGTTCCAAGACCTAGAAAAATTTCTCTAGGACAGCTAAAGCAATTGGAGTGCACACCTTATTTGTTTTTTCTCCCTAAAAAATACTGTTCTATAATACCTACTGTCTATCTGCTGAAAACTATTGTTTCATACATTCTGTCCAGTTTCTTTGTCTAAGGTAAGAAGGTAAATCTAGACCCTATGACCCCAAAATGGCTCAAGCCAAGATCACTATTTAAAATTTTAAAAAGCAAAACCCCAAAAAAAGCCAATTTAAAAATTATGCTTTCATTTTAACATAAAAAACAGATCTACAGACCAAAACTTCCAGAGACATGCTAGGAACTCTTTATTCAAATACATGTCTATTTTATTTGACGATCTAGGTTGGTGAGTAGCAAAAAGTACACAGCTATAAAAGAAAGGAAATTCCCTTTCAGTCATAATTATAAAGATAATATACAAACATTTGAAAAGTATTCAAATATTGCTACAATTACTCAATGTACCCTGCTGTTTGAGTAACTGCACACCCAATATGAAGATATGATGCATTTTATCTTAAAAACAAACAAGCAAAACCACTTACACACTTCCTAGCTATGGCTCTACTGACTTAACTGGAAAGGATAAACACTCCTACTACCCCAATTATGATCCCCAGATACCATTTCACCCTGAAAGAAATCACAGTTCCAAGGAAAAAAGTATCATACTCTGAGTTTGGTTCAGAAACATACAAGATTAGTAGGTATATTTTGTTATACTTGCTATCTAGTAAGAAAGCTGTCCAAGATTATTACAGCTATCACCAAAGGACTTGGGAGCCAACCAGAGGGGTTTCACTGACCAAAGATGGGACAATTTGAAAAGCAGTAAGAATAACATCAATGGATTGAAGGACATCAAATGCTTAAATCACTGAGCACATACTGGAAGTAAAAATTTGTCACCACTGAATCTATTAGAGAACAAATCCTGAGAGTAAATAATAACATAAAGGGAAAGAATCAAGTATATAGTCTGCCTTTATAGATGATTTGTACAACTGTATGAACAAATAGCAGATGAGAAGTTTCTTTTTACTAAAATGCCCTAGAAAATAAACAGAGAAAGAAAGATAGAACCACTATCTATACAATAACAGATCTAGGCCTTGAGCACTACTAGCTGTCAGTGACAGAAACAGTCACTGAGGTTTCACCAGACAGAAAATCATCAGTATCACCTATGAAGTAGTTTTGCTAAAAATGAAAAATGAACCTGAATTTGATCAAACTTCAGTGAACTATCCAATTTAGAGAAAATCTGAGGGTTAAAAAAAATGCTAAAGACAATAAGGATGCAATCAGAAAAATCCAGCATTTGGAAGCTACTGTCTTCAACAAATAAATGGCAACAAAAGAGAAGCAGGGTAAGAAAGTGAGGGCAGCTGGGCTCGGTGGCTCAGCCTGTAATCCCACGCTTTGGGAGGCTGAGGTGAGTGGATTGCCTGAGCCTGTGGGTTCGAGACCCTCCGGGGCAAATTGGCGAGACCTCATCTCTACAATAAATCAAAAAATTAGCTGGGCGTGGTAGTGCACGCCTGTAGTTCCAGCTACTTGGAAGGCTGAGGCGGAAGGATCACCGGAGCCCAGCAAATCAAGGCTGCGGTGGTCGGGAGCGGCCACTGTACTCCAGTCAAGGGGGAGAAAAGATTAATCCATCAATCACAATCAATCATTATTTGAATCTTAAAGCAAACAAACTATAAATATCTACAGTATGCTACCATTTGTACAAAAGAAAAAATAAAATATGTTTATGAATGTGCTTGTAAACATACAGAAGATCTTTGGAAGAGCATAAGAGAAACTGGTAACATGGTACCTGTAATGGAACTGAATGATCAAATATCGGTTGGGAAGGAGGTTTTTGTATCTTTCAAACTATGTGAACGCTATTACCTATCATAAAAATAAATAAATAAATAAACTGTGTGTTATTGCAACTACAAAAGTTGCCCACACTAATTTATCAATTGAGTTCTTAGAGAAAATGCTTTGAATTAGAGAAATGACAGGAGCTTTTATTAGCAAAAATAATGTTATTACCTCATCATATGTGTATCTGTAGTCGGCTTTCTTTGATTTGAGGTCCCATAAAACTACTGTTCCAGATTCAAAGCCAATTAATAGCTGTGATAAAAGAAAAAGCCACATTACCCAGGAATGATATCAATTATAAACCATTTATTTGATGACAATAAAATAACTACTGTAATCAATATGCTTTGAGTATAAACTTATAATATAATTAGACATTTGCATTCAATGATAAAAAATGGATTTTAAAATTGCATGGCATATTTATATGACCCTGATTATTAGAGACTCAACACACAACTCTTTTTTGAAAACAAAAACAATATCATCATGAAGACCTAAGTGCACATCTTCACTAAATAACAGATTTTAATAACTTACTAATAAAAATTAACATTTACAAGTACTTTAAAATTTATAAATTTTCAAATTCTACACATTATCAGGCAATCTCATCTATTCCATCTGTATATTGATCAGTTATAAATCATATCCAGCCCAGATCCTTCTCATTCGATTTAGACACACACACAATTCCGGTGGCCACATCTCCACTCACCTACACAAGAACTTCAAAGTAAATGTGCTCCAAACTGAAGTAATTATATTTTATACTCTGCTTCTCTGGCATTCCCTATTGCAGTAGCTCTCTCGCCATTCCTTATCACATTTATTCAGCAGCATAGGCCAGAAATCTAGGAATTATCCTTATCTCTAGCCTCTCCCCCAACAGGCAAAATCACCAAATAAATTTAAATTACTCTCCTATTAACACTCTAATTTACTTCCCTCCATCTTTATTATCTCTTTCCTAGTTCAAGACACAAAGATTCCTTTTCTGGTCTCTCTGACTCCAGTCTTGCCCTTATTTTACCTCAATTCATATTGTAGCTACAGTAATAGTTCTAAGATATAAACCCGCTAGGGTAATGCATGCTTCTATTTAAAACTGTTGAATTCTTCAACATTATTTGTAGGATTAAAGTCCCAACTCAGTAATATCATCTACAAGGTCTGTCATGGTTAGACCTGTTTACCTCTCCAGCTCCATTCCAACACATTCCAGTATCTCCTTAAGTTCATGCTCTCTCTTACCTTTGAGCCTGTGCACATGCTGCCTCCCTAGCTGCGCCACTCCATCCAAATGTCATCCTCTTTACCCGAATAGTCCTACTAATCTTTCAGATGTTGCTTTAGCTATCACTTCCTCTGGGAAGTCTTCCTTGAACGACCAATTGTAAGTCAATATCCTTTCTATGTGCTTCAATAACACTCTGTACTTTTTTAATCTGAAGGACCACTACATAATGTAACAATGGCTTTTCCCTTATTTGAATTCTTTTGCAGACTATTAATACTGGTGTATTTGGGCAAGGATTAGTTTTATCTTGTGAACTACAACACCTCTAACATAAGACACAGGGCCTGTTATGCTGTAAATACTTAATGTTTTATAAATGAATGTATTTCAGAATGGAATTTATATTCTTGCTTCATAAACTATATGCACTGCCCATACAACCTCTGCTGTACCCCACCCCCAACCCACTATTTTACAAATCTCAGTATTCTGTTTGAAACTTCCTCCCCTTTCATTCACTGAGCAATCTTCTATGCATTTTCTAAGTCTAAAGTCAGTGTTGCTTTCTTGGTTAAGTCTACTCAGCCCCTCAAGACAGACTAAGATGCTCCTTTTCTTAAGCTCCTATATGCATTTTTGTCTCTATTTTTCTAATATCTAATATACTGCCTAATACATAGCAGATACTCAATAAATATGTTTAGTTAACATAAAAATTATTAGATAGTTTATACCTGTTCATGTAATCTGGGGATTTGAACACAGTCTGGAGTAGACACAATAATTCTAATAAAATAGAAATTTAGTGTATTTCAGACTAAGGGGCAGTGGGAGGGCTGTTACTAAAGCTGACAAAATTAGTTTTCCCACCTTGGTAGGAAATATAGTCAAGTTTCTTAACCTAAACTCTTCTTTCTTTGGCAATCTGAGATACACCTTTTTGGAAAAACTAGTATTTGTTTGCTTTTCTCTTTTTCTAGTCTTTCCAAATACCTTGGATATATGATATGGCATTTTCTCATGGGAGATGAGAGGAATGTCAGGTATAAGAAAAAAAAAAGGAAAAAGCACAGTATAAACAGCACTGCATTGATCAGGACACAGGTAACCTGAGTTCTAGTCCAAAATCTGCCATTTAGTAGCCATGTTACTTTAAGGAAATAATTTTACCTATCCAGATCTTAACAACTTAGAGAGTTATAGCAAACTTTAACCTCTCTAGACAGCTCCAACGTTCTAAGAATGTTAGAAATATGTGCCAACAGGGTAGAGTTTTATGCCCATAATCTTCTGGCTTCTTAATTCCTTTCTCTACAAAAGCAATTATAAATATTTAGAAACAAAATCAAAGATACAGTACTTAATTAAACTTAGCAATTAATTAAACACTTATTCCTACTAGAATCTTTTACAACTCATAGAGATGTGACTAATTTCCTTCTAATTTTCTTTTATAAAAAGCGTTAGTGGGCACACTAAATATAACTACCCCTCTCTACAACATGAGTAACCAATCTGTACCTAGAGGGAAAAAAAGTAGAATAAAGAGTACTCTTGGGTTGAAATAAATCAATATTCAATCCCAGAACCACCTATTTCTAGCTCTCTATGCCTCTAAAAATCACAGTATCACTTAATCTTTGCTTCATTCATCCATAAAACAGGGAACATTTAACTTACAATTGTTGGGAGGATCAAAGGACACTGTATATCAAGTGGCCAGCACAGTGCCTGATGCATAAATTCAGTAAATGGTAGCTGTTACTAATGTAAGTAAGTTTACACTAATGCCTACTCTTCCTTGACCAAGACTTTCATTTACTGTAGTGGCATCCACTTGTAAGGTTAGCTTTGAAGGAACTTGCCCTATCACTTTATATCTTTTGTCAGTGTCAAAATGTCACCAAGATCTTTGGAAATAGGAAATATTAGACAACATAACTTATTCTAGAATACAAGTATTTTTTTTAAAGTTTGAATGAGATTAAATCTTGGAACTAAGGAGAATAATATAACATCAGATTTCAAAAATAATGAGAATGATATAAATAAGTTATATATAGTTCATTCATTCCATAAATAAAATATACATTGAGTAGTTACTATTTTTACTGTATGTTGCATGCTATGGAAAATAGAAAACTGTGTAAATATTCCCATTGTGCTAAAGGAGTCCTTTCAAGCTCAGGGGAACTGAAATATGCAGTATATTTATATATAAGGCAATATTTGATAAATATCATAAAATTCCATAACTAAAGTACCAATAAATGTGAGAGAAAGCATTTTCTGTCAGAATTATCAGGGAGGACAACATCTCAAAAGATATATATTTAGTCTGGGCCTCAAACTGTGAGTAGGAATTTAGCAGAGAGGTGGGAGAGAATTCCAAACAGAAGGACTCACATAAGCAAAGGTATGGAAGCAGCAAAGAGCAAATCATGTTTAAGAAAATGTAACTGCATCAGCATAGCACTCAGTATTCTGAAAGACAGAGAAATCTAGGGCTATGCTTTAAGAAAACTTTGTTAGATACTACAGACCAACTAAAAATTTTTGAACAGGAGAACATTAAGATTAAAATGGCACTCTTTATAAAGATTGAACAAGAAATGATTCAAAAATGAGTTGGAATGCCTTGAACTCCTACGGTCATTATGAGACTGAATGGAGAACAGACATTTTAAAGGAAGGATTGAAACGACTCAGTAACTGTGTCAAGGTGGAAGGGATATTTTTGATTCTCCCATCATGTCTCCCACCCAAAAGCTTGTCTTTTAAACAAGCATCTAGTATAAAAAGAAAACAAAGTGAGAATCTATGTTACCTTACACTTGTTTTATGTAAAGTTTCTTTCAAAGCATACAATTCTACATTATGAGCTACTTCAAAATAGTCCAGTATCTTTTTGTTTTCCCAGTGGCAAACTAAGAGAACAACATTAAACAATTTGCAGGCTTGACTTATCCCACAAAGAGGAAAGACAAAACATAGGTAAACTCCTGTACAAATTCCAGGGGTTTTCACTTCGCTGATTTCTGATAGCAATCAAATTCCTAGAATTTACTAATACTAATATCATAAAATTAATAGGCAGAAAAATATTATTATTAAATAGAACTACCTGGAATACTGGTTTGTATTAGGAAAAAAGATTCACAGAAAAAAATTATTATTTGTCAATGTATTAACTAACCTAAATTAACAATTGCTAGATACTGACTGTATGAAACTGGTTTCAGAGTAGTTAAAAATTAAACAGCATTTTTAAAAATTAGTACATTATTAACTGGGGCTATTTATGAAATAAAATTTAGGGGAGATGAGCTACAACAACGCAAACATAAAGCTATCTGTAATAAGCACTACAAAAATTATATAATTAAAGGGTTAAAAAGACTCCAAAACAAAAAAAAATTTTGTCAGGATTATCAGAAAATCAGGGAAAATATTCTGAATAAGCCAAATATAAATTAACAATTTGTAATTGCACTTATTAAATTTTACTTATTTTTAGGGGTTTTTCTGTCCTTTATCACTGTAAATGTTTCTAATTCTTTCAACTGTTCTTCATAATAAATAACAAGTATGAGTTATATATGATGCACAATCTTTATTTGCAATCTCAACTCTGCGGATAAGTGTGGTCCTAGAATAGTTTGCTTATATACCAATATAAAAATTCATACATTTAAATAATAAAAATATATATTTTAGAAAAAATTTTACCTTTCCCTCGTCCATTGGATTATCACTAATATGGACAACAGGTCCTGGGTGAGATTTAGATGACCTAAAATTGAAAAAGTTAGTAGGTTTTTTTACTTAATTAAAAATTTCAATATGACTGCATATTTTAAAAAATGGAAAGGAAGTTATATGTATAAAGAATGAAAGCATGTCAGCAAGTGATCAATAACATATGTATAATTCTTAATATGAATCAAAGCAGAAATCAGGGAAAAATGGCTCTCATATTGATATAAGTCAGCAAAATCTACAATTAAGTACTCCTTCTGTATAGGAAAGAATCTTCAATTCAAAGATCTCAGCACAAAAAAATCTATTTTCATGGTAGAATTCTCAAAGTTAATATGTTTTAATAATATAGCACCTAAAATATCACTATGTTATTTTACTCAATTCTAGTCTCCAATTGGCACATCTCATTTTGGTTCTATAGTTCATACCAGAAATAGAAAAAAATCCATTGTACTAAAAAAAGAAAATCAACAAAGTAATGCCACCTCTACCAGCACAGAGAAAAAGAAGCTATTCAGATGAGAATAGGCTGAACTGATGCCTATACAGGAGAAATAAGTGTATCTGTATCCAAAAACTACAAAGTAGAAACCACTCTACTTTATAAGACTGTCTGTGAAACTATACAGACACGAGCACCAGGCCTTACCCCTTAGAAGCGGCAATCAACTCAAAGAATAGACCATTAAAACCCACACTACCAAGGGACTGATATACAATAATAATGTCCTTACTACAGGAAGAAAAACCAGAATTAATACACTATCACATCCATACGAGTACATTTCTTAAGAGATACGTCCAAAAATTATCCTATGCTCAAAAAGATGTGAATATTGTAAATTACAATAATATAAGACTATTTGTTTAAACACAAAAACAAAAAGAAACATTGAAAGTGAGCTTGCCAATATCCTTAAACTTTGATTTTTCTGTCACAGCAATATAAGAAAAAACTTGCAGAGATGGGTAGGATGCAAAAAAATTTTAAGACAACGTGAAAGCATGAAAGATCCTCAGGGCCCTATAATTCAAACTAGTTTTGTTTTTAGTATTAGTAAATATCATTCTTGTATCAAAATTAAGTAAAATGAAACTTAAAATTTATTCTGTAATATGTTAACTTCATCAAACATTTAGTTATATTTATTGATTATTAAAACATATCAAATAGTAGATAGACCAGTGGTTTCCAAATACTAGTAGCAACACATTTGTGGGTCATGACCAGCATTTGAAAGAAAAATAATTAGAAGACCAAAGTATAGAAAAAATTTTCACTTAGTAAGAATGATTATTTCATTGAAACTTGTGTAACAGTTTATACAAATATAAACACATGCATATATAATGTGTGCATACCTGTACAGATATACATAAAGCATTAAAATTTACAAATAGTTATGTCAATATTAAAAAAGACATATAACATCAAGGACATCTGACACATTTAACTTCATATAGATTTGCTGATCGGTTATTATATGATATACAGTACTGATACTTGCAGATGTAAAATACTTGCTCAAACTCACAGTTCAATGGCTTTATTCCACATAATGACGTAGCCTGAGAGTGTGAAGGACTCCACATTGACAATATGTATATTACCTCGTTCAGTGCCCACATAGAGCCACTTACTCTGGAAAGGCAGATGGCAAAATGTAACCCTGCGAGAGAAAATATATCCAAAAAGGAAATTTGAAAATGTCTGGTAAACTTTACTGTAATTTGAGAAAAGCAAAAAGAATATGAAACCATCAAGATTTATCTTCTAATTTTGATTAATATTTAGTTATGCTAATTCAATGTATATATCAAACACAAGGCTTCACAGTAAACAGACACCATGTCATGATAGGAGATGAGTTTTGAAGTTATAATGGGTTTCAAATCTGGCTATGTCAGATTTGACATAACTAGTTGTGTATTAACTGTGTAACCCTGGGCACATCACACATTTAATCTTTAGACCAGAAGCTATGATTCCAAAATCCACATCACCCCTGGGAAGTATTGCACTTCTCAGGAGTCACTAAGCACATTAATCCATTTCAGTATCTTCTTACTACTCTTACCAGGCAAAATGCTCCTCCTCCTCCTATTTTTTCTTCTGTGCAAGATTCAGTTCAAATATTATTCATGTTCAAATTGATATCCCAGTACTTCTGTATCTCTATCAGGTTTGCCTTATATGATAGTTATGGTCCGTCTTCCTTACTAACTTGTGAGTCTCTTGAAGGACGGAGATGCCTTGTACTCAGCCTTAGACAATGGTTCTGAAATATGTTTAAACTATTTCTTCCTATGTCCTGATGATATGGAACACCTTCATTAACAATATGTAATAATTTACATGCACCTACTAAAATTTCTTATCATTCTAACAATTTCAGACATCTTTTTTATCAGTTTCAAATTAAAGAATAAATACTATCTTCTCCTTTCTGTAGCATTTACTTTTAGTAAAAAAAAAAAGTTTTAGCTTGTAAAAATGTATAATGCTCATTTTTCTACAGAACAACTATTTTGTTTCTCAGAACAGACTATCATTTTAATGAAACAGCACTTTAAATAATACACAATGATATTAATCACTGCCAGACTGTTGATACTAATAGTAGGCACTGAGCAAGATAAAGCATATAGATTATTTGCCATTTCCATTAACACATAATTTCATTACAGATGAAAACACTTATCAAATAAATGTATAGGCAACTCACATTCTCATTCTTCCATATATAACGTTCAGTTAGGTAAATACTTAAGCTGCATCTATTCGTATTTTTGTTGAGTGTTTGATATGATAAAATGTCTTCTTTCTAAAGAATTCATGTAAATTTAGGAAAGTACAGACATGTCTATGGAATAAACAAAATCATGCCGCACCTTGTTATTTCACAAAGCTCACTTTCTCAATATCAGCTTCAATCTTATAACTTTTTCCTCTCATTCAACTATAAAACCAACTTACACTACCAGGATATTTTATGCATCTTTATGTTTTCCAGAAGTGAGAAGAACAAACTACTTAGAATTTAATTATTTTGACAAGGAACTTAAACGTTCACTTAACTATCTTGGCATCAACACTTTATTAAAGTCCCTAGAATAACTCATATGCTTTTTAAAAAATATAAACCAAAAGAGAATATTTGTACAAAGTACCACCAAACTTAAAAATTACAATACTCTGCTTTAAAACTGTCCTCATCATTTAAGTAAACTGAGAAGAAAGCTGATTTTTTTTAACTATGATTAACTCGAGAATTTCTTTCTAAAATTTTAGATTTGGGGTGTACATGTGCATTTCTGTTCCTGCATTGAAATGCAGCAAGAAAATAATCTTCAACTTATGTATATAAGTTTACAGTGACCCAAAAATACCTGCTTATACTATAATGTATCTTGTTAAGATAATGGTATTCATTTAATGATTTAAAGTTGAAAATAGGATAAGAATCTAACTTTCTTATAATTGTACAGAAGGACTTTTGTGGGGTATCTCTTTTCTACTTTTGGACGACACATCCAGCAATGTCTACATATGGTGCCCTTAATATGACAATTTGCTTCATAACTTTATGCGTCTGAACAAAATGGGAAGTCCCTTTGCCCTTTGTCAAAGCAGAAAATCCCTACTAATCCTGAATATCTGCTCATACAGGCTCTTCTTTTAACCCTTTACCTAAAATTCCCAAAACATGATACATGCTTTTTCCAGTTAATCTTTAACATTCTGCATAGAAAATTTCATTACAATCATATTATGCTTTCCACTGCATTGTAATTTGCCATTTCATCTCCATTAGTCAATTATAACTTCCATGTCTCTCTAAATTTATCACTGTAATTGCAATGATCAGAAACTCATTCAATGTTTAGCAAACACTGCTAAACAGGAAATAGAAAAGAAACATTATTTGGTAAATTTCTTAAGTTACTTGTGCCTTATACTGTCCTGTTACAAAATGACAATTTAAATTTGAATTAACATATAATGAATAAATAAATGTGTATACAAATATTTAAAATAGCAGTTAGCTGAAAGCAATTTATACATCAGTTCAAAGCATTATTTTTTATTTGCAGTCTCACATATGCTTTCAGATAAATTGTCATAACTACTTTAGAAAAATCTTCACCATATCCATAACTCACAAGTATAATATGAATGTTTCACAACATAACCTTCAGAGGTCTTTGAAAGTAGTTTTACATTTGTATTGATTTATTATATTCTTAATTAGCTATATCTCAATTTTTATAAAATGATTTAAAGCTTTCAGAAATATGTCCAAATATACTTTGGAAGGCAGAGGTGAGTGGATTTCCTTCCTGAGCTCAGGGGTTTGAAACCAACCAGGGCAACACAGCAAGACCTCATCTCTACAATAAATCAAAAAACTAGCCGGACTTGGTGATTCATGCCTGTGATTCCAGTTACTTGGAAGGCTGAGCCAGAAGGATCACTTAACCCCAGCAGGTTGACACTGCGGTGGCCATGAGCGTGCCACTGCACTCCAGCCTGGGCAACAGACTGAGACTCTCACTCAAAAAAAAAAAAAAAAAGAAAAGAAAAATAAATATGTCCTAATAAATCCAATATTAGCCTTTCTTATGAAATGAGATCTTAATATAACAGTACGAACAACTACCAAATAAGTGAAACAAGTAAAATATCAACAAGCAAAACAGTGAATATCAAATAGGGAAATAGTATATATCAACTACAAAAATAATAAATAACAACATTTGAAAAAACTGTTCCCTGCTATATAGGGAATTTCTTAGAGATCTGTTTTTAGTAATCTTGGGGAATGAAGATGCCAGGATATTATACAACAAATGTTATGATAAACTGAAATAACCTGGTACTCGTGATTAACAGTTAAACTGTACTTTTCCATGAAAAGTCTGATTATCTTTATTTTAATTTTCTATGAGATTTCCGCTATTGTACTTTACTGGGTAAGTATATTCTAAATATCTTACAGTCTATGGCTTACGTATTTTTTGTTTTTTGAATCAGAGTCTCACTCTGTCACCTAGGCAGGAGTGCAGTGGCACACCCACAGCCACCACAACCTCGACCTGCTGGGCTTAGGCGATCCTTCCGCCTCAGCCTTCCAAGTAGCTGGAACTACAGGTGTATGCTACCACGGCCGGCTAATTTTTTGATTTATTGTAGAGACGAGGTCTCACCAAGTTGCCCAGGCTGGCCTCGAACCCCTAGGCTCAGGCAATCCTCTCGCCTCAGCCTCCCAATGTACTGGGATTATAGGCTTGAGCCATTGTGCCCTGTCCCTCTATGTGTAATCTTTACTTTTTCCACTAATAGACCCAAAACCAGCACAGTGCTTGATTTTCCATGGAGTACTATTTGGTCCTTGGCCTGTAGTAAAGCTTTTTCTTTTTTATTTTTTAAGAAAAAGAGTGAGTAAGAAAAAGAGTGAGATGGGAGAATAAAACATTTTGATCAAGGGATTTTTTTTTTCATTAACCCAGAATGCCTGGGGAGTTACAGCACACTTCCATCTGTAAAATCTTGGCAGCAATTTTCTAGATGAAGATGAAGGTTTTATTTTTCCTTTTCCTGACTTACTGTATTAGAGAGGATTTCCAAAACAGTATTCAATGACGTTGATAGTTCTAATTTTTAATAATAATGCTTCTAGAATTTTACTCCTAAGCATAAAGTAGGATATTCTTTTAAGATCAAAATTTTACCCTTACGAGTTAATTATCAGTTATGGAAGTTATATTTTAATTGAATGTCTTTTTGGCATCTATTCAGATAATCATGTCATTTTTTTATCTCCTTTTTCATGTTGATTTAATCTATGACATTAAGAGTTTCTAATATGGAACATTCTTGTATACCTGTGGAAATTTTTTAATAAGGTTCATAATTCTTTTATTATATTGTTAAAGATGATTACTGATGTTCTTGAAGAATTATCTAAACTGATCTCACTTGTGAACTCACTTATGAATACTAACATATTCTTGAAGACTTATCTAATCTCACTTATGAACTTGTATTCATATAGCTTTTTTTCCTTTGTTGTTTTCAATTTAAGTATCAGAACATGCTTTATTCATATAATTAATTTAGTAAACTTTCCTTCTGTTCCTTTCTCTCTTTTCTTCCCTATTTCCTTCTTTCTCTCTCTTCCTTCCTCCCTTTTACCTTTCTTATTATTCTAGGGCAGATAAATTAATAGAGGAATTATGTTTTATGAATATTTTCACAGTATGCTTAAGCTTTTCAGGACTAGAATGTTTTAGTAAACAATTCTTAATTATATTAATTTTTATGGTTATTAGTCTTTTAGGTTTTCCTATTTCTTGAATTAATTTTATAATTCAGCCTGTCATCAATTTCATTAAGATTAGAGGCTTGAAGCCGGGCTCGGTGGCTCAGCCTATAATCCCGCGCCTTTGGGAGGCTGAGGTGAGTGGATTGCCTGAGCCCGCGGGTTTGAGACCCGCCTGGGCAGCGAGACCTCATCTCTACGATAAATTAAAAAAAAAAAAAAATCAGCCGGGCGTGGTAGCGCACACCTGTAATTCCGGCTACTTGGAAGGCTGAGGCTGAAGGATCACTGGAGCCCAGCAGGTCGAGGCTGCGGTGGCCAGGAGCGGCCACTGCACTCCAGTCTGA